GTTATAGAAACTTTCGAAAAAGCAATATGGAAAATAGGTAGACGACAATGAACAAAAAGTTTTGTTTTCCCATAGTAATTTCCATGTAAACTTCGAATAGTTTGTGCCAAGTCAGTTTCTTACCAAATGAGTTTAAATTTTGGGAGGCTAATCAGGACCTGATTTGGAACCGTTTGAGCACTGTGGAGCGAAAATTTCAAATTTTGCATCAGTCTAATGAATACACTATTTTATATCTTCGACCTTGGTTTGCTTCAAAAAGGATTAAATTCAATTGGGATGGTCTGCCTAATCCCTAATGCATTGATTTCTTAGCATGTCGATATCACTACCATGACAAAACTCGTTAAATAGTGCACCTAAAAGCGAGCTCTTTTGGGTGGCGGGTGGCAAGTTTGTGAATGGCCAAATGCCTGATGCCAAGCAGACCTTCTATCACCTTTTTAAACATACCACAAATTTTCCATAATACATGGCGGTTTGCACCACTCCCGTCAAACGGGAGCAACACGGAAACAGCAGTCTGGTACGCTTTGGACGTTATCATACTTGCCGGCCGGTTTGAATGTGTGAGTTTAAATTAGATGAACATTTGTGATGTATGGGTGCCCAAAGTGTGCATTTCTCGCTGTGCACTAGGATATCTGATTGCAGACAAAAAGAGTAATGGAGAAAGAAATTCTAGCAGATTGCAGTAACTCTATCATCTCCTTGATGAGCACCTTCCCTTCGTCAATATCGTCTGCGTCTCATTGAATGCTTTGGTATAGAAGGGAATATTTACTTTTTTAAATACTTTGATATAGCAAGAAATAGGGAAAATGGATGTAATGTCATACATAAATTCAGCAATCGACTAAATGTTCAATAGCGACCAAAAATATCCATTAGTACCGTCCCAATGACGCGTTCATCTAAATAAAATTGATAAACAGCCAAGGGGTAATCAACTCTGCACACCTCATTCTGTGCCGAATGTTTTAGCGGTGCCGAAGTCCGCTAATCAAGTATCCCATGAGTTTGGCAACACTGAAGTTTTAATGACTTTTGTGATTGTGCGAGAAAAAGAAGTGTGATGTTGATGTATTCAACAATCACTGCTGCAGTATGGAAATTCTATCCGAATAAGAAAATTGGGCAAAGTAAACCAAATCTGTTTCAAGATTCGGACCGTTAATCACCAACAAAACACTGATTGCAGCGGAAGCCGGTTCTGAAGCCCAACTCCGGCGGATCCTCATACATTCTGAAACGCTCATCAAGCACGAGTACATCATGACATAGTTCGAGATTCTGGAGGATTGCGGCAAGCTGGACGCGGTTCTTCGTCCGTGGCGTTGATTATGAAGCAGTATGACAACGATAGCAACTGCCAGGCGGCGGTGGAACTGTTCAATCAGCTGCAAGCGGAGGGCGGCTTCTTGAAGATTAGTGGGGATTCTACAAAAAAAAATTGTTCGATTTACTTCAGGTGAACAACTTTTGAGGTGCCGAATGTGGTTCTGTTGTATGCCAAGGGAAAAGTTTGAAGAGCTAAAGGATCGGATTTAGGTTGTCAAAATGTGCTTAATTTGTTTTACAGAAGGCCTATCTAATAAATTGTTTAAGAATGAACAATTGGGTATCATAATATTTATTGAAACAACAATGTGAGAGACTAGTGGTACCGTAGATCGCTTTGTATCACGCTATGTATCTGGCCACCCTGTGGCATTGACCCGTGTGAACCGTGATATTGGAAACTACACCGGAAATGCCAAACAAGTGTTCGATGCTAAAGTGGATGACTCTGAGAGCGACCTAGTTATTGTTATTGCTGGTGATATTCTTGGCGCTGGTATTTATTTATCACTCAAACTTTGACAACTCTCGCAGGGAATTGGACGAAGTGCTGGCTGCAGGAGAGTTCCGAGCAAAGTATATGTTTGTCTTCCAATCCGGAAACCGATCCTCTAGTCCGATGGTGTGTAAATTTCATCCTGAAGTGAAGTTCGACGACTGTCAGCAAAATGCAAAACCTTAGCAACTATTGGAACAACGATAGCAAACAACAGTGATGCCGTTGCATATTTTGTGTCATACTTGTCAAAGTGTGCCCTAACCGTGTGCCGTGATGTGTTTCGGCACAGTGTGCAGAGTTGATTACCCCTTGTAAGTAGCAGATTTTTAGCGATGGGCCCAATTTGAGATCCATGTTGGCCACATTAGAGCCATTTCCCCTATTTCCTTCTTTGAATGTTTCGACATACAAGGGTATATTTTCTTCTTTATATTCTTTGATAAAGAAGGCAACGTTTCTTTCGTTGAATACTTGTCAGTTAGCAATTAAACATTTTATGCGTTCCTATTTGAAGCAAGAGGAATCATTCCAGGAAATGAAATTTCCTAGAAATGTGATACCACCGATCAAAACATTTCAAATTTCTGCCACTTCAATAAATCATCCAGATTTTTGACTACGAAAAAATATCTAAAATAGGGGAAACGCTGGCTTCGGTAATGCCTTTACCTATTATCGTCCGGGGGTAAATGAAGTTAAAGAGTGTTATTTTTTTTTTTTGCAAAACGGTGGTCTGGATGATGCTCCTTCATACAAAAAAGGCACCGCTCAAGGACTACATTTACCCCCCGAAGATAATAGGTTAAGAAGTGCCGAACCCGTACTCTCCCCTTCTAGACCTGGATACATTTTCGAAATAAATTAGGACTAAAATAGGTTTACAAAATAGGGGTAATGGCTCTAATGTTGGCCTATGGATCTAAGATTGGGACCATCGCTAAAAATCTGCCATTTATCAATTTTATCTAGATGAACGCGTCATTGGGACGGTACTAATGGATATTTTTGGTCGCTTTTGAAAATTAAGGCATTTAGGCCGACATTTCATCCATTTGTTTGTAATTTGTTATCAATGGATATTTGGAACTATGTTTGGGCATCGGTCAATAGAATTATAGTATGAACGTATAAAGCTACTTAAGAAACCGAAAGAGATAATCATATTTCATGTTCTCCGAATCGCGCGCCCTCTAAATAATCCTACAAATTGCATTCCTCCATCCGAATTAGCATACCTAATTCCACTTGAGCCAGGTCGCGGTCATCCATATCGACATCATTAAACCCACTTACTGGCATATTATCATAATCCTACTCCAAGCCAATAACTGGATGAGTAATGATAAGTTAAGTTGACTCCAATCCCCTTGGAAATGTAATGCCCATCAAGTGGAGGCTGTTTGTTGCTTCATCCCCGTGTCTCGTGCGAGTGACAGAAGCCATCGAACCGGGTCCACCAGGTCAGCGCCAGAATTTTACATTCGACTTTCGGCTTTGAGACGCTGACGGTAAATTCCAAGAAGTCGCACAGTTCGCGCTAAAACCGCACATCTGGCGCGTGTCTCACTCTGTACGCTCTCGCGCGAGCTTGAATATTAAGCAGCCACCTGTCGGAGCGTTCGCATTCCATACTTGCCACCACCACCATCTAGATGAACCTTGCCGGTTTGGTTTCTCCCAGCAGCTCGCATTGACATCGGCTACGTCACGCCTAACATTGGTGATTCCCAGTCTCACTCGGTCTGTCGGTCACGTCTTGTTTGTGTTCATTAAATTACCTGTGTTTCGTTCCGATTTATTTGCTAAAATCCTACACGTTGGTGGTGGTCGTCGGGAGCTGTTCTCGGAGGGTTGTATTCAATTTGTGCACCCATGGAAATCGGAACATTCCAGTAAATTTGACAGAAACGGTTCCCAAAATTGAGAAAAAAAAAAGAACGGTTCTATTTTAATTGAAATCGAACTGACTGGATGGCGGTGGTGGCCTTCGCAGGTGTGGGTCTCCTCCGTGTTCGCTGGTTCAATTTTGGTGGTCATCGGTTGGACACAGTCGTGCACAATCCGCTATTCGCTATTCTTTTTGACTACACAGGCCCACACGTGCCGTCCAGAGGCACGGCTGCTGAATCTACACATATAGGTAATAAGTGTTGCAAATGATTGACTTTCCCCTGGAACAGTAGTGGAGACAAGTGTAGGGGTGATCAAATCGTTGGGAATAGTCATTTGTGAGATAGGTATTTAGACTTTGTTCCATTTGGTGAATTTTCACTTAAATTTGACACTTCGAAAATAAATTAAGATGCTCGAAAATCCCTCTGTTGTTGATCTTCCTATTTTCGAGAAGGTGTTTGTCAAAGCTGATTCCTGGTCGGTTAGAAATAAGTCTGGTATACAATAGCAGGTTTATTTGAAAATTTTAAATCTGTCAAATTTAAGAGAAAATTCACCAAATGGAACACAGCCTGATTTTCGAGAAGGGGTTTGTCAAAAATGATTCCTGGTTTGTCAGAAATAAGTCTGGTACAATAGCAAGTTCCATCTGTCGAATTTAAGTGAAAATTCACCAAATGAAACACAGCCTCAAGAGAAAATTCACCAAATGGAATGCCGTATAATAAAATCTCGAAGTCAGTTTTCTTAAATTAGTTGCATCTAAGAGCACCAACATACGAGACATCCCTATCTAAGCCCAAGCAGCAGCACACCCGGTGTGCCTAGCGTTAAATTAGATTAGTCAATAAATTATTGCTCCCGTGTGCTCCCGGTTTGACTTCACGCTCTCTGGCTCTAATCTAACTAGTAGATCATCGTAGATCAAGGTCCCTCGCACTTCTCATGTACGGCTATGAAATTAACCTTGCTTCAGGCTATTCATAGCAAAAAAAAACCCCGTTGGCCGCTTGCCTTCAGTTGGTCCCAGTTATTAGTCAGTTGCTTATTGGCATGGTTTTTACTTGCAAACCTAACGGTGGTGATTCATTTTCACACATAAGTCTGGTCTGGATTTTTTCGAAGATCAATCAAGCCATTGTGATTTGTTTTTACATTTTCGCTAGGGTTATAACTATACGTTCCTATTATGATGCGTTCCAATTATGGCTAATGGGAATTGCATAGGCCAACACTGGAACACACCATATTACGAACCTATAGCCTACATTTCCCCGTTGTCAGTTTTTATAAGGAACAGTAAAATAAATGCACCTATCAATGCATCAATTGGTAACATCATACCCGAACAATTTACACATCTCGACCGATATCCGATACAGGGGCAAACCGACCACGGTGAAGTAGTCCCCTTCAATCTTCTCCACGAACGTTCCACCGATTCCTTGAATTCCATATCCACCAGCCTTATCCCTGCAAAAAATAAAAACAAAACCACAAACACACTCGTTGGTCAATACGATTGTCACCTGAAACCCACCGAGACTCACAATGGCTCTCCGGTGTCGACATAGGCTTGAATCTGCTCGGCAGTCGCTTTCCCAAACTGCACCTTGCAAGCTTCCGTAAATTTCACCTCCCGGTCGTGATATTTGATAACCACTCCCGTGTAGACCGTATGCTGCCGGCCCATCAATCTGTTGGAATGTCACAATTTGTTACCAACAACCATGTTGCAAACGACGACGACAACGACGCGCGCTAGAGCAGATCTACTTACTCGCTGAGCATCTGGAATGCGACCTCGGGGGTTTTAGGTTTGCCGTACATTTTTCCGTCCATGGTGACCATCGTATCGGCGCCGATGACCACGTCTGGCCGTTTGGAGGGATCGCTGCAGCTGGCGGTAGAGAGTCGGTTGTACACTTCGAGCACCTTGTGGTAGGCTGTTTCGGCGACATAATCGGCGAACGAGTAGTCCGATTTGTTGAGATTCTCCTCGAAGGTCGACGGGCACAGGTGGACGTTGGAGAGGCCCTGGAAGAAGGTTCAGAAATTTTAAATTTAGAGCTTTTATATTCTTTCAAAAAAATCTTCCAGTCAGGGTCGTAGCTTAGTAGGGGAAAGGAGAGCGGTCCCCCTCAGGCGTCACTTTCAGTGGACAGTGGTCCAAACGGTGAAAAACGTGATCGCGTGGAATTACTCCAAAACCTATAATTTAAGGTATGTAGTGTCTTCGAACAAATTTCTAGGCATGCAAAGCCCTTTTTCTAGTACCCGTAGTACAACAGGTGGTCCGTAGCGATATTCTTAGTAGGCCTTAATGATCTATACCGACACTAATTGAAAGGATTTCATAGAAGTTTCACCAACATTGTGGAAGTGATTTTCGCAGAAATTCTGAGAATTTGATAGAAGCTCAGCTCAGGTTTGTTGAAGTTCAGCTTACTTCTTAAAAACTTAAGAGTTGGATTTGGTAGCTTACTGGTAGTATTGGAAACTTTGTTTTGCCCGAGGTTTTTGGATTTGGTTTAAGGTTTTTCCCAAGGGGGAATCAACTCTGCACACTGTGCCGAAAGACAGTATGACCACATGACACTCTGTTCGGCTGATACGTATGACACGAACAATATTATATAAAACGGAAACACTGTTGATCGCTGAAAATATCCGTCAATACTGGTGTAACAGTGATTAATCCGAGGGGGACGACTCTATCTACGATGCAGAAAAGATTGTGTTTTGCTGTGACTAGCTGCGCGCACGCTGAGTAGACAGAAAGAAGATTGATGACGATTCTGAAGATTTCCTGCAAAAAGATGCTGCACGATGCAAGTAATGCGCCAAATGAAAGAAGATTGTTCGAAGATTGATTCGCTGGTGTGAGATTTGTTGAGCATCTAAACTTGAGATTTAGATGTGTCGCCCCCCTCGGATTAATCCTAGAATTGGGTTGTTTAGGGGTATTGAGGTAAATATATATTCGTTATCTGCATTAAAAATGGAACCGAAATCCAAAATTTCATCAATGTTGGTACACTGGAACTACTTTAAATAAGTACGATTACATTAGCAAAGATCACCATCTTAGCGCCCTTTGGTGGGACTTTGTATCGGAGTGAGCAGTCAACGAATAGATTTAGTGTCAATGATCCAAAATTTAAATCTTGATTTAAAAATCGAGATGAATGTCTACGGGATCGATAAAAATATCGTTGTGCTCAGAAAACGAAGCTCTATCAGATGATCTATAAAAACCGGTATATTTTTCGAAGTTAAACAACCCAATTATAAAAGTTTATTGAGATGTACCAAGTTTGGTGCGATTTTTAAAATGGAAGAGGCATGGGATGAGGTAAGTATTGTCAAAAGTTCTGTTCGATTGAAAAACTATTAAATATAATATACAAACTCAACTTTTAGGCGTACTTTTGGAAACAGTTGGGGCTGTAGTATGGCCAAAAAAAGCATATTATGAGCACACATATTAAAGTCTGAATAAGACAGAGCTCTACACCAGGGGAACCGGGAGGCCACCCATCAGGCAGAGATGTCCCAACAGCCGAAATGAATTTAAAAAAGACTAAACTTTGAGGAGGGATCATCACCCAGCATGTCGCGTATGCTGTTTGGTAGCCCGTGGAGTTCCCCCAGGCATTCTTGCCATGCACAGCTGTACACATCAACTGCTCATTTGTTAATAACTTTTCACCCAGTCCTTGAAATTTAGTTTTCTTTAAAGTAATTGATAGATTAGGATCATAGTTTACTGTAGACATGCACAGAGTAGGTAAATCTTATCATTTGAATCAACACCAATGAATTTTTACACTTAAAGTCCGAGATGTGCAGCGAGCATTTCTCACTTCATTTTTGCAACGCAAAATCAAATACAGTTTATTACTATAATTAAAATCTCCTTTTTTCACATACCTACAAAAAGCTTAAACTCTAATCTATCGACTGCTTCAAACAGAACTATGTTTCGTCAACTCTGTGCAAAGTTATTAGCAAATGAGCAGTTCGTGAGCAAAACTGTGTATGCCAAGCATGCCCCCAGGTTCAGATACTGGGGCCATACGCATAGAATGTGCTCGATTGAGGCTGGGGTTCTACAACCGGTGCAAGTCCTGTGGAACGGCGTTCCATCGAAATTGTGCGAGAACTTGCTGTGACCGGTCCTCAAACGCGACGCTATCTTCTGATCCCACTGGTTCAACAATTCTGTCCACTTCCTCGTCGTCCCTTTGATCCGTCTGATGAAGAGGAAGCGGTTTTGAGCCCACTCCGCGTCCCAAGCTTCACATATGTGCGTTAAAAATAATTATTGAAAGATTAATAAATAGTACTTACGATGTTCTGAATCAGTTCCTGTCTTCGGGGGGATCCACTGGCCAGCACCACCCGTTTGGTGGCAAGTTGATGCAGGATTGGTTTCAACATTTTTGCCACAAATTCTGGTCCATTCAATGCAATGGTTTAGCAACTAAATTGTTGTTAAAGGTTCGGGCACAGCCAAATTTTCTGATGCAACAAACAGCGTCCCACCGCCAATACGACAAACACGTGTGTGTAATTTGTTTACTACGCAGAAAACAGCTGATTTTCGACATGACAATCAGCTGTGCGGTGAATGATGGATTCAGCTATTTTGCTGGATAGATTATGCTGAGAGTGAGGTGGTTCGCGGCCGAGATAAACGAAGTAGTTGAACACAATGTTGCATACAACAATAGTCACCGTGCACGTTTTCTCGGTTTCACGGCAAATTAATTTAACTCATATTTGAGTACCGTTCACTCAAATTTCTCAAAAATGTACACTGTAATAAAAATGTTCCCAAAAGTAAGTTCTTTTCACTCATCTATAGTGCAGGAACCCAAAAGTAGATGAAGCGGGTCAAAGTAGTTTTCATTTGCTTGCGTGCATTTCGTTTGGAATTTTCCACTAGCTTTTTACCCAAAAGTATGTTATAACATCAGATAACATCTATAGATGTACTCGAGGATGTACCCAAAAGAAGGGAAATATCGAGGGAAATATGATTATACTCAACGTTGATTTCCCATTATTTACTACACACAGAGTTTATCTAGTTCGTTTATTTGGAAGGCTCAATCGCGTTAGCTTTACGGAGCCGATAATTCATTGTTCACTGTGTGTAACAAAATTCACTTAATTCTATGTCTAGTAGGAGTTGGGCCGATTACTCGCGGCTTACTCGAGGTTAGAAGGGTACATTTTCGAAGGATAGGATCAGGGGAGGAGCTTGGGGTAGGGTTTCGTTGTCTCATCAGAGCGTTGTCGCCAGTATGAACGGTAGTGCTCGTCCGGAGTACGACCGGCTATGGTGGGTAACCAGTGGGCGACGATGAGACTCATCGAGACGGGGGGACAAGACAAACAAAAACTAATAAAGAGAGACAAAAGACAAAAGGAATTAAATTCTTATACTAGACATTTGAAGAAAAACATAAACGGATTGCATATAGCAGAGATCACGGGTTGCCAACACGTCTCTGATAGGAACATACACACTTAATCTAGCTCGGTAAAATCTCCAACAGCCGATTACCTCGGCATTTACTTTTGCTGATATATCTGCAAAATATCTGTTTGTTAGCTGATATCTCCGTAAAATGATATTTGTTAGCTGAGTCTCGGCAATTGTTTTACTGAATCTCAGCAAAATAAATTGCAGAACTACTCGGCTGTTGAAATCTCGGCGAAACATTTGAAGTGTGTAGGGTTGTCTTCCTTGGGCCTCGAGGGTATTCAAAAGTCGCTCTCTGGCGGCGTCATTATCCATACTTTGCCAAACTGCGTGTTCGATGTCATCGTAACCGTTTCCACATACACACAGAGTTTAGATTACCGAAGTCGGTAAAATTTTAACAGCTGAGTTTTCAGCAATCAACTCAGGCTTGATCCATTTGACGAGTTAAATTTAACTCATGGTTAAAAGTGACATTTCCAAAGTAATTTTCTATGTTCGAAAATCCCTGTGCTGTCGATCGACCGGTTTTCGACAAGAACTGAGCCACGGTTGTCAAAATTTAACTTTTTGTTTGTCAGAAATAACCATGCTCGGATAGCAGGGTTGATCAATAACTTTCCATCTGTCAAATTTTAACCAAAAGTTAAAAAATTCGTCAAATGGTTCAGAGCCTTAATCGATAACTTTCCATCTGTCAAATTTTAACAAAAAGTTAGAATAATCCACCAAATGGTTCAGAGCCTTAGTTTGTATTCCAGTTAAGTGCTATCAAATCGACACTGAATCGATTTGCTGGCCGTTCAGCAAAAATATGTAGCTGAAATGATTGCAGCTCGGCAAAATCCAGCAAAGTTATGCTGGAATATAGCGAAAAAAATGGGTGTCTAGAAATAATCTGTTTTCCGTTAATTCTTCACAGAGAACATGATATTTTTTCGATCCTATAGACCAGGCCATAGACTAACTTTAAATTGACAGCTCACTCCCATACAAAGTCCCACCAAGGGGCGCTATGATTGAGATTTTTGATAATGCGATCGCACTTATTTAAAATAGTTCCAGTGCACCAAGCTATGCAATTTTTCCCATTTTTAATGCAGATAACAAATGTTGATTCACCTTAATACCCCGTACAGACTATGGCTTATATCATGTAATATAGACTGTCTTGCAATGAGCACTCATACATCTACTTTTCACTGGAAATCCTATGTATAAGTGTGGTATAAGTGTTCATTGCAAGACAGCCTGTATTACATGATATAAACCATAGTCTGTCCGGGGTATAAGACCCCTAAAGAACCCAATTATTAATTGAGAGCTTTCGATGCCTATACCATTTTTGCATTATTGGGTGTTTTTTTTTTTTTTTTTTTTTTTTTTTTTATACAGGGGGGAATCTGCTCACAGACACCTGAGAAGGAACTCAGGGTGTGGGGATGGGAGAATTTCACTCCCGACCCACTAAACCTTACCCTGTGCGCTTGGCCCTTGGCCTCCCCGGAACCGCCCGAAGGCATTACTTCGTGGGAGGGGCCGCTGTAGCGCTATGGCGCCTCTCTAGCAATACTCTAACGATCTGGTCGGGCAGTAGGTAACTGCTGCTCGGCTCGCCACTGTCGTTGTAATACCGAAACTATGTGGGTGACCGCAGTCACCACCGCGCTCCAGTTCTCGGTGGTACCACACATCCTATGAACGATGTTGTCCGGACTGGTATCCGCTCCGCATATCGCTAGCATAGCGCTCGATACTGGCTCGAAACGTGGACAGGCAAACACGACGTGTTCGGCGGTCTCCTCGACACCAGCACATGTGGGGCAGGTGGGAGTACTTGCATGTCCGAACCTATGCAGGTAGCTCCTAAAGCAGCCATGGCCTGACAGGAACTGTGTCAGGTGGAAGTTTACTTCCCCATGGCGCCTGTTGACCCAGCTTGATACGGAAGGTATCAAGCGGTAAGTCCACCTCCCCTTTGTAGAGTTTTCCCACTCCAATTGCCATCTCGCGGTCGACACAACTCGCGCGTTGTTGCGCACCCCTCGAACGGTCCTCGCGTCATAACACGCCACATCCTCCTTAATGATAAGGCTGATTGGCATCATCCCTGCTATGACACAGACGGCCTCTCTCGAGATAGTGCGGTATGCACTGGCCACCCTTAAGCACATTAGCCTGTGTGTACTCTCTAATTTCTGCCTGTGGCAGTCAATATCCAGTACCGCAGCCCACGCAGGGCCGCCGTATCTGAGGATAGATACTACGACCCCAGCGAGGAGCCTGCGCTTACTGGCATTCACTGCCGAGCTGTTTGACATCATACGGGATAATGCCCCCACAGCCATAGACGCTCTCTTGCAGGCGTACTTGACGTGGCAGCCGAAGCTGAGCTTATCGTCGAGCATGACCCCCAAGAGTTTTAGAGAGCGCACAGACCTAATTGTGCTTCCGCCGACTGTCAACGTTGCATGCTGTACTGACATGCGATTGTTGACTACGACCACTTCCGTCTTGTGATGGGCGAGCTCCAGTTTCCTGGTTCTCATCCATTCCTCCACAAGCCTGACGCAGTGTGCCGCTGTCAGCGACCTCGAGGAGGTAGATCCTCGAGGGATTCCCCGCAGACTACCAGCGTGACATCGTCGGCAAAACCTACAATTTTCACGCCTACCGGGAATTTTATCCTCAACAGTCCATCGTACATGACGTTCCATAACACCGGGCCCAGGATGGAGCCTTGTGGCACACCTGCGGTGACTCTAACGCATTTTTCGCCATCTTCTGTGTCGTACGTCAACACACGATTCTGGAAGTAGCTTTCCAGAATCTTATACAGCCCTCCGGGAATTTGGAGCTGGTGTAGCGAGCGGGCTATCGCCCCCCAGCACGCGCTGTTGAACGCGTTCTTCACGTCTAAGGTTAGCACCGCGCAGTAGCGAATGCCCCTTCGTTTCCGATGGACCACCTCTGCCGTCTGGATGACGTCGCGGATGGCGTCCACCGTGGATCTGCCCTTTCGGAACCCGTACTGGCTGCTTGACAGGCCGTCTACACCTTCGGTGTAGGCCGACAGCCTGTTGAGGATGACCCTCTCAAGCAGTTTCCCAGTGGTGTCCAGCAAACAGATGGGTCTGTATGCTGACGGGTCCCCAGGGGGTTTTCCTGGCTTCGGAAGCAGCACCAGCTTCTGCCGCTTCCACGCGTCTGGGAAGACGCCTACGTCCAGACAAGTCTGAAAAACAGAACGGAACATGTCTGGATTTTCCGCAACGGCCGCCCTCAGAGCCACAACCGGGATCCCATCTGGGCCCGGGGCCTTGCCCACCACCAGCGACCTGGCAATACCGCCAAGTTCACTGTTCGTCACTCTAGACACTTCTCCCTGATCCGCGCCTGGGATCCGCGGCCAGGAGTCTACGTCCCTACGCGGGAACAGGAACCCAACGATCGGAGCCAGTACCGCTGGTGATCTCTCCGGGGGTGCCGTCACGCCGCGGGTCTTTGCCATGACCACTTTGTAAGCATCCCCCCATGGGTTCGTGTTGGCGCTTTGGCATAGGCTGTCAAAGCACGCGCGCTTGCGTCTGGCGATCTCTTTATTGAGGGCTGCCTTAGCCGCTCGGAGAGCGACGCGGCGTTCCTCGCGAGATTCAGTCGTACGAGCTCGTTGCATCCTCCTTCTCGCCTGGAGGCAAGACGCCCTGAGGATAGCAATCGACTCGCTCCACCAGTACACCGGTCTGTGGCCATGCCTGGGATAGGCTCTCCTAGGCATGGTTGTATCGCACGCCCTTGTCAGTGCTGCTACCAGTTCTTCCCCCGTCAGATCCGGGGTTATTCGCTCCCGCCTCAGTGCTTCGCCGAAGACCTCCTCCTCGAAGAACGACGTCCGCCAGCCTCGAGCGCAGGAAGAATTTCCTCCTGCCACTCGCCTCTCACCTGGCCCCACACTGTACCGAATCGCCTGATGGTCACTATGGGTGTAACCCTCATCGACCCTCCAGTGTAGGTTGCCCTCCAAACTCGGGCTGCAGTATGTCACGTCGATGACGGATTCTGCA